AACAGCCAATCAGCATGAGAAGAAGGGGCCACCAGGGCCCCTTGGTCCATCAGAGGCATGGCGGGGGGAGCCCCCTGTGCTCCACACATGAAATAGCTGCTCGGGCCTGCATTCTCCCAACAAAATTAGGGGGCAGCCCCTGCAAATTAGGTAGGTCCCTACCGATAACCAGAAGAAAACATTTCAAGCAAGTTAAGTCTTACAACTGCATGTGGTCTTGTGCAGTGGGTGTCTCTGTATCACTAGCAGGTTATCAGTATTTTCTGTTCTCCTATGTCACTATCAGAATATGAAAATGAAGAGTCCGAGTTACAAACAGCACAAAACTACAACTGCCCCAAAAAGCTTACAATTCAAGCATATCAAATATGATACAAGGTGTCCACCAGTACAATACAGACCGAGAAAGTAAGATATCAAATGTGCAGAAGGGAGTCTATTCCCTCTCTACTTTCTGGAGTAAAGAACTTTCTCCGAGTTCTAGCCAAGTAGATTCTTTCTGAGAACGTAAATACAGTTGGACTTGTTTAAACATTTTGCTAATTTAAAAAAGAAAAATAATATAGCACAGCTACAAATCTGACACTCACAGGTCTTCAACTTGAAGTTAAATGACACTCCTAGGCCTTCTGGCAAGTACTATTTTGTGGCTAAATTAGGATAGATTGTCAGAACATAAAACTTTCTTTTAGAGACTCTCATTCCAGTTGGAGGAATAAGTAGGAAAACTGGAGATTTAAGAACTAAGGTGAAATCATCCAAAGGGATTATTTGAGATGCATGAGAAAAATCACCTGTTTAATGTTTGCCATCCCTACAGTTACTTAGCAGAAAGAACAAACAATAACGGCTGCTTATAGACGTGGGAGGAAAAAAAAACTAACCAACCAACCAAACCAGCACTTTATTTGCAGCTCAGGATCCCCCCGCACCAAGTGTAGTATATGCCCAAAAGTGACGTTGCATTTGACCCAGCTCGCCCAACACAAGTTGGGTGAGCCAGGTCAAGCTAACACAACAGATTGCACCCTTCAGCAAGGCTTTTTTGGCCCTTTTATCTACTAGCTAATTAAATCAGCTTTAGACAGAACCGCCCAATCTATACAGACGCTGGGGAGCTGGGTCAAATAACATGCTTCCTATTCCCACTCTTGTAAAGAGCTGTTTTGGGGGGTTTTTCACGTCTGTCGGCGCCCCATGAGACCAATTTCAGATTTATTTTAGACATAAGCTGATCCCAGTAGGAAGCCGATACTGGATTCAAGCTCAGACTTTAACCTAAGTAAACAATGTGTAGGATTTATCACCTGGGAGACTCCAAGGTAATACAAAATTGTTATTAGCTTCATGGAACCTGGATACCAGCACCACTTCCTACATGTTAAAAAAGCAACACTAAAAAAAACTTTCAGATAAAACACAAGTCTTGCTCTAAGAGAAGGTCTAAACTTAGATACTTGGTTCATCTTTATGCATTCTTATTGTATACAAATTAGCTCAAAAATTCAGAGTTTAAAATAAAATACTATACCCTCCCCCATTAGACATGCATTTAAGTTCACTTTTAATTTTGGTTTTATTAGTACTTGCTTTGTTTAACAAATAGTCTGGTAGAAGATATGAAAGATATCAATCAACTACAGACAAAGGAAAGATGCAAAGTCCATCAGAACAAAAGGAAAAAGGAACAAGGAAAAGCTGTGTCTGAATGCCTGCGGGGTGATATGCTTCCTGACATGAGACTTCTGAAAACACAACTATCCGGACTTCCAAGATATATATTAGAAAGCAGTAGCTGCATTACTAACTAGCCAGTAACGACACCAAAAACAAACAGTATAAAAAAGGTAAATAACTGGTACTGAATTCTAACAGAAGTACTGGGGCAGAAGAACCTTTGCAGGTTTTCACCGTTTCTTAGGTTTAAAAAAAAGCGGGGGGAGGGTGGGTGCACACCAAGCATTTTCAATGCAACTATTTGTTTGCACTGAAAGAACAAACTCAAAGTCAATCAGACCTCTTCTCAAATGATATTATGCAAGGACACTTGAGGACACCAGCAGATGAAATACCTGCCCTCTGAAGCCAATTTACTGAAAGAATTACAATTACAAACCATTTTGTATTCCCCCCTATTCTTTCCTAGACAATTGGAAAAATTACTTGATAACCTTCTATTCATAAACACACCAAGCTCACTATTATTAAAGCGCCCTGCACTGTACACAAAAGGACAATATTTTGAATGACCAGAGCAATTTCAAACCCTTTACTTAGCCTGATGAATTTTTAACTAAATTACTTCTTAAACCCACTATGACAAACACCCTGGCAAGTTTCATATGAAAACTATGAAGTTGGAAAGCATTTTAAAAAGAGAGCACAATCACTGGTCTCAAAAACTAGATATGGAAAAAGGCCTATTAAGACTATTTTCCCCCATCTCCCACTAAGATAATACTGACCTAGTACATGCTAGAATGCATCTCAGTGCCTGAAAAAGTGCGTTGAGAACAGTTAATAAACCTAGTTATCAACTTTTTTAAAGCAAGCACTAGTAGAATGGTATCAAATGAACGGATTTCTGAACACACATCTAGACTGATCAAACAGCATGTTCCTGCCTAGTGCCATACTGGTACAACTTTACTACCTATCAGGTAGGTGAAGGAGAACACAAACCGAGACATCTGGATGTCATAGGCGATGCTTGGGGGACATACCGGGGGGGGGGGGGGGGGGGGAGCCACACGGGGCTGGGGGAAGTGCGAACAAAATAGTTCCCCTGAAATTGGCTCCTGCCGAAGCTGCCACCAGCATTTGTGGGCGGATGCTTCCCCCTTTGCTGTTGACGCGGCTGCTAGCGGTCCCCGCCTGCTGCTGCCAACACCGGCGGGCAGTCCCCACCATGGTGCCCCCCCAGGCTTGGGAGGCACCAGTCATTCATGCCGGATATCATCTGACCAAGGATTCACAAAATAACCTACTGAGCACTCTGGGGTAAACTGTATTTTAGAGGCTTCATAAACCATTGTATATCTTCAGAGAACAGTTGGTGAAGAGCCACTCTTCAAAAGGATATTTAACAATCTATCTTAAGTCATTTGCCATCAACCGACAGCATCCAAGACCAATTCAGAGGTAAGCTTCAAAAAGTCTGTCTTGCTAGAACCCGACTGCATGTACTTGTTAGTTTACATCCCATACTCCATGAAACACGTATTTATTTACATTTATTTATACTCACAAATAAAATTTAGCAAAAAACCTACTTCAGCTGCTCAGTAGGATGCGACTTTTACTCCAGCCAGCTGGGGAAGTGAGAACTTAGGAGTTGCAAAAATTTTTCTGCCCCCTTCTGCTGGTTGATACAAATAGCATCAGATGTGCACAGGGCGCTTTTACATTACAGGAAGGAGAAATAATAATAAAGCCCAAGAAAAGGGCTAACAGGATTAAAAAAATAGCAAGCATGACAAAAATAGGGAAGTTATAAAATCATCTTGGATAACTACTGTGGGCTAGAGTCATACAAGCAAAGCAAGAAGATAAAAGGAGCTATTATGCTGAAAATCTAGCAAGTTCCAGTAAAACAAAATAGAAACATGGAAGTTGTTACTACAAAGTCTTGTGTTGTTGAGTCTCAAATTCACTCAATAAAAGATGCAAAAAAATATGTTCCTTAACATTAAAAAAAAGAAGAGTTAGCGCCTACAGCACATGAGGGTTTGTTCAACTATACAGTAGAGCAAATTGCCACATGCAAGACACTAACTTCAGTTATGTTAGAACTGGCTAGGAATATAGTATACTGTTGTGAAGCTCAGATCTGTCAGAGGTCTTGATCATCTCCAAGAAAGATTGCTAGCTATGAAATAGTTCAAACTTGAACAATTTCAAAGCCAGCTAGCTATTCAAGAAGCTATTCACTGTTAAACCACATAGCCCTAAATAAATTCTCCCACTATACATATGATATTTAAATACATGTCTGCTCGTCTCTTCTTTTCAACTATGTAACCAAACACACAAAAAGTGATAACCTAAATTTTAATTGATTCAAAGTTATCAAGTTGCATCTTTGTTGATAAATTAAGGGGGTGGGAGACTGTTACGATAACTGTTTCATTTGTTACCAGAATAAGATAAAAAGGAAAATGTCATGTATTGAGGAAATCCCCTGAGCACGCAGAGAGAATTAAAACTGTGAGGATGCCAACTTAAAATTCCAGTCACAATTCAAAAGGTGCAGGGCTGGTGTCACACTAACAGAATTTAAATCCTAGGAGTCCAGGCCGAAGCCATTAATTATACAATGCAAGATATACTGTCATTACACACACTTGCTAGATCTGTTATAATCAAACACTTAAACCTCAAATATACATAGAATTTATCTTCAGCAGGTACCACTTGATGGGAGATGCCTCATTTTCAGTTGCCGACTCACCAAAAGTTATGGTATTCGAATGTGTCATTCTCCCTGCTTCCCCTCCCCAGCCTAAGGCACTCCATACCCATGGACCCACAGAAATGCAGTAAATTTCACATAGTCTTTGCCAATGCTGACTTCCACATAAGCTGCTATGGACTCATGTGTCTAAAAAAAAAATAAAAAATTAAGCTGTTATGGGCTTGAAAAGATATCTATCAGAAAGTGCACACTATAAAATAAGTAATTGGATCCGTAGAGAGAAGGCAGATGCATCCACTTATTTGCTAAGACTCTAATTTGTAACTAACAATGGGATAACAACTAAAAAAAAAAAAAAAAAGTCAGTTTAGTAACTACTTAACTATCTTTAAAACAAATCTACTTGGATAGTAATCCAGTTCATTCAATTCTACCTACAATGTGCTTTTCTACACACACAATTGACAAACCGCATTGGTAAGTCAGAACCCACTCTATGGCATGCAGAACAGCGAGGAAAGCATACTGTTTTCTGTGCAGTACATACTGCGCACAGCACTGGGTCTACTGTATAACTAAGGCATACCGTTCAGTCGCTTGGAATTTCCATTCTTTTGCTGCTCATCATCTTCCTCATTAATAGTAAATAAACCAGGGGGATTTGGTCTTGCACTTGTCTTCTTCAATCTCTCTTGATGGATAGCAGTAGACGAACCAGGCATGGTGACGTTCCCTCTTGCTTATTAGGGAGGAAAAAAAAAAAAAAAAAAAAAGCAACTGCAGCCCGAGCAGCAGCTAGCTGCAAAGCTGCCTGTTCATTTGAGCATTTGTAATAGATCCCCTATGGATAAGCGGTGTGCAAACAGCTGACAAATACCAACATCCACTTGGCAGCTGAGAGACTGCAGTTTCCCCACCTTGAAGAAAAACCCTAATGTGTTAAAGGCACATTGGTTTGCCTTAACCTGTTTGATCAGATCCAAGCCCACAGCTTCTCCTTCTTGCTGCAGCACCTTTTCCTCAATCTTCTTCCAGCCAGAGCACACTAAAATATTCAACACGCAACACAGGAGGAGAAAATATGATACGCCACTGTTACCAGTTGCCCTGACAACAGTGACATATCCCAATCAAAGGAGGTCTATGAATGTTGTCCTCTCGGCTCCAGAAAGCAGTCTGCCGGAATGCTTGCTCCCGTCTGCTTGCGAAGGGTTACAGTGCAAAAGCGCTGGATCCACCTAGTTGACTGGGCTGCTCCTTCCCTCCTCCTCCCCCCCAGTGGCAGGAGGATGGAGTTTTGCTTGCACAAGCAGATGAGCTTTAGGCATGAGCCTGCATTTTGTTATTCCCGTTTCCAGTCCCCAGCCTAATCCAAACTAAAGCAAGGAGGGAGAGAGTTTTCCCTCCTCCCCTTCCTTACCAGCTTAAGCAGCATTTCATACCTTTGGCAATATAAGCATCTACACCCACAATTACTGGCAACTGCCGAATGATTTTTTTTTTTTCTCTCATGGAACTTAGCATGTTGAATTTGTACCGACAGGGTAGGCCAATCGGATTACTCTCACGGTGAATATACAGCGAGCGTTCCCTACTGCAGTGTCAGCTTTACGGCACAGAGGTCATTAACAAACACTTGCGCAAAAAGGATGGAAGATCATTCATTACACCCACCCAAGTTTTCCCATTTGGCAACGTTTCACAGTCTGGATTCTCATTAGCTAGCCACAATGGAGGGTTTCCTTGCACATAGATGCCCACCTGATTGCCTCCTTTAAACAGTTTCTGCACAGAATTGCTCTCTGTCCTTCGTAAGAGCAGTGCCAATACCCAAAGCCTGGCCGAGCTGATGTTTTGCAGATAACTTCAGCCTCCTTTAATGCTGCCACTACTTTCCAGCCTCAAACTAAAAGCACCATCATTATATTAAACGCCATTCATTTCTCACCAAATGCCAAAGTGGTCATATTCTAAGTCTCTAACGTTGCTAGATTCTCTTTTTTACTTCTTGAATTTCAGAATCAGAAGCTGCATTGCATCTGGTTTTAAATGCCCTCCCCAACTATAGCTAGCATATATATTAGAACATACCTTAATGAACAATTTGGTAACAGTACATGGCTCATATTGTCAAAGCAGATGATGCAATGCATGTTGTGTTATGGCTGCCTCACCAACATGGTGGGAGGTTTATAGAAAGAAGGGCCAAATTGAAGGTTGCTCAAGGCACCGTACAACTTTACAAGCCTAGTGGTGACCTGGACTGCTCTTCGAGGTCAGGACACCATGAGTTCAGCAGAAGCCTCGGTTCTGTTCTCAAGCACAACAATCCTGGTTACCAGCGTAATCGAGGAAGTTAGACTGATGACGTGTGTCAGGATCAGGTAGATGATGCTTTGTATTAAAGGGGACTGGCCAAAAGTAGAATAAAAGAAAGCAAGCAAGCTGACACAAATCATTCTACCTGAGTAATTGTTCTTGCTACGTTTAAGGTTGCTTTTTCCAATATGAAGCAGCAATATCCAATCCCATTCACATACCATAACAAAAATGTATGTAAATGTACATGAAGCTAGCATTGGTGTGTGTTGTACTTGTTTTTTGTATCATGCATGATTATTATGCTCAGCTAACATCAGTTTACAAAAACAGCCTACAAATTTAAAATGTGTATGAACAGTACTAGAAAGGGGGATTAATGATGTCAATTCACTTTCTTTCAGGTTTAGAAAAAAGGCATTAAAAAGACTCCTGGTTCTTTTGAACAGTTTCATTTTGCAGGTGTTTTCAAAATCATTTGCTAAACAATCACCTATAATACCATATTCTTTTAGAAACATTACTTTAAAGATGCAGGATTGTTTGTAGCCGCAGCAAAAAGCCTAATGGTTGAATGGGCCACACAAGCCAAGGCACTTCTCAGTGTAGCTCCTTGTGGGATGCTGGAAGTTGGGGAAGTGGGCATTATTACTTCTCATGTTACCCTACTGAGGATACAAGAGAGCTGACAACTCTAAAGAGTTGACAAGGACAACTTTCACACATACTAAACACACATGTAAGAGGTGGAGAATAAAAAAGTGTTCAACTGGAATAATGCGTCTAAGTACCAAAGATAGAAATAAGAATTACTTGGGGACACAGGGCAGTGTAGTGCAGGGGTGGCCAGCCAACCTGCGGCACGGGTGCTACAAGTGGCACAGGCAGCCTGTGTGCGTGGCATGTGGCAGATTGGGGAGGCAACAGGCAGCACAGCGGCAGGCAGGTAAGAGAAGAGAAAGTAGATCAAGCAGGGAGCACAGGGCAGGAAACAGAAAGCAGAGCAGCAGCTTGGTCGGGGAACACAGGGTGAAGAGCAGAAAACTGAGCAGCAGACCAGTTAAGGGAAAGGGAGCAGAGTGGCACTTGGGGAGGGTGCAGAATTAATTTGCTGCACATCTGCAAAGAGGTTGGCTCCCATTGGTCTAGCAAACAGGTTACAGGAGGAGCCAGTAACCTATGGTCCGCGAGCCAGATACAGCCCACAGAGCCATTTGATCCAGTCTATAGACATTGGTTTTCAGCTTCCGGATTGACCCAGGTCAGTTCAGAGGCAGGCCAGCACTAGGACCTAACCACTGCCACAGCTTTTCCCCATGGTGGCAATGGCAGGCACTTTCCCACCTCTGACTCGAATAGAATCAAACCAGTCCACAGCCTGAAAAGGTTACAGGACTGGGAGTCACAAGAAACAGGCTCTAGTCCCACTCTGCTACTGATATATTGCATAACTATAGGCAACTCACTTTGACCTAGTTCCACAAAAGGACTTTAAGTTCTGGAGTACAATACTCAAAACCCAAGTGTAAGAGGTTAGGCACCTAAGTATTCACTAGCACGGTTCCCAAGAGTTTTGCTACTGGATACACCAGTCCCTCTGCAGCAAGGGAAGTACAGATATCGTAGTGCAGTAAACTCTACAGCACAGGGGAATGTTGCAAAGGGGATAGGTGGGATGGCATATCTCCTTGCCGCTAATCTCCCATGCCCAACTAGCCAGATGTAGGTTGCCAACCAGTGGCCTAGAGCAATCGCTAACGAAGTGGGAGACTTGAATTCAATACCCTGGTCAGCTTGACATTTCCCACATCCCCATTGAGACACATGCCTGGTTTAAAGCACTCTCCACACCTCCAGTAAGTCAGGCCTTTGTACAGCAAAAAACATAAGCTTCATGGGGTGAGAGCAGGAGCAAGTGCACACAAGAGGGAGCATCACTCCAGTCTTTTGGTTTGGTTTCTCATCTGGAAGTATGGGGGTGGGACAGAGAGTCCTGGATGCCAGTCCCTGAGTCCAAGTCTGTTTTGTTTATTTTATATAAGTGAACATAGGTAAGTGGACTTACCCATATAGGATCCCTAGCAGGGATCCATATGATACAGATACACACACATTATTATATTAATAATATAATATGGATCCCTGTTAGGGACATATATTATATAATATGGATCCCTGTTAAGATATTACATAGATTCATAGATTGTAAGGCTGGAAGGGACCTCGGAAGATCATCACATCCAGCCCCCCACACCAGGCAGGAAAGACAGGTGGAGTCAGGTGATCCCAGCAAGATGACTATCCTGTCTCTTCTTGAAGATTTCTAGGGCAGGTGATTACACCACCTCTGGAGGCAGTTTATTCCATAGTCTGGACATCCAAACTGTGAAGAAGCTTTTCCTAATGTTGAGCCTGAAACGGTCTTCCAGTAATTTGTGGCCATTACTCCTGGTTCTCTCCAAGGGCACCCTGGTGAACAGTTGTTACATATTATTATATATAATATTATATATCATTTATTATATACATGGAACACTGACTGGCACTCGGGAGTCTCATGTCCTTCCCTTAAACACAAAAAATTACACAGTCCTTGTCCTCATGCTTTTTTACTCAACTGACAATCCTGAATTCTTTGGTACAGAAGAACAACTTCAGCAACAGGTGTGGAGAATTCCTCTAGGTACTACTAATCCTTTAAATGAGTAATTCCTAAGATTAAAATAACTTGTCTGGCTAGAAGGGCAGAGCACAGTTAATATTATACAAACACAAAAGATTATATTTTAATAATTTAAACCCCTAGACATTTATAAAGTGTACAATGAAAAGGATAATAGATAATACTGTTTGCATTCTCCTTTTATCTGCTTAGAACCATTATGAAATATACTTATCTAACAAAATGGTAAGGTTGCTTTAAAGTAGATCATTTAACATGAATTGGAAGAGGATAAAAGATCTTCCCTTTAAAAAGATAATTCTCATTGAGCATCTCTAAAAGGTAAGTCCAGTAGATTTTAGGCCTGCCTTGACCGAGTACATGGAAGCGTTTTAGGGATTGTAAGTTAAAAATAACTCTCTCATGAAATAAATGGAGTATAATTTAGCACACCTATTTTCTATTTTTGAAAAATATATTACTAGATTGCACAGGCATAATTACCTCCATATTATATGACCTGATATATAACAGCTGTGAGTAGCAGTTTAAAAACAAGAAGAACACAGGATAACTACAATATACTAGGAGATGTTAATAGTTACATATTCCTAGCATTATTACCATATTTACTCAAATACAAGGGAGTGCTCATTAAGTGCACGCCTTTTCACCACCAACTCTTAGTGTCATGTATAATATGGAGATAATTATGCCTGTGGAATCTAGTAATATATTTTCAAAGAACAGATATTTACAGAATAAACTGTATTAAAATTGGACTGAGTACTATGGGAAGACAGCAGAAGATAGTGGGAAAGAGATGGTGGACCTCATATGGAAGAAAGGGGACTGGGATAGATTTTTCAAAGGCAAACCTCTGAAAAGAGCAAAGAGGATGATGACAATGAGGATGATGACAAGTGAAAGGACTAGACAAACAGGTGGGGGCTTTGGGAAGGGAGGGGTCAAGGGGGGAAGAAGCTGAGGTAGATGTTTGCATAAATGTGATGGTTTAAAGCTAATGGTGGTGGGCACGCACGTGTGGTCTTTGTAATGAAACTAAGAATGACGTAACTGTAAAGTGCGTATTGGACTGTCAAGTGAACCACAGTCGACACAAGACATTTTGTTAGAGGTATACAGAGAGAGAGAGA